GTGCCTCTGTTACCCCATTTGGAAAATGAGGATGATGTTGCTAACCCACCTTTCCAAAGCACTTACACCCCATTCTGGCTTGCCCCTGCCGCTGAATTGCCGCCGAAGACCCGGTATTTCGGCGGCAGGTCCCGGGGCGGAAGGACGCCCCGCCGCGGGTCTTCAGGGCACCTCAGAGACGGGTCCCGGAGCGGAAGGACCCCCCGCCGCCGAACTGCCGCCGGAGACCTGGAGCGGAAGAAGCTCCGGGGGCCCGGGCCCCACGAGAGTTTTCCGGGGCCCCTGGAGCGAGTGAAGGACCCCGCTCCACGAGCCCCGAAAAACTCTCGTGGGGGCCCCTGAGGGGCCCGGGACCTGGGACAAATTGCCCCACTTGCCCCCCCCCTCTGGGCGGCCCTGCCACCACCCTCCACTAAGGTCTGAAGATGCCACTGTCCCCCAGCAACTCTCCGGCTAGTAGTCTGATACCCATCCTAAAGTCCAGCCATCAACTCTGGGCTGAGTTACAGCACCCCAGTACTGAACTCACCCACACACATCTTGCCTGAGATTACTTTATACCTGACAAAGAAACATGGAAGCAGCTTAAATAGTCATATAATGAAAGATCAGACTGTTGTAATTCATGTTTGCCTTAGAAGAGGATGGACATGAGCAAGAAGACAAGGTTAAACCCGGTGAAGCAAATTTAGCACTGAATCTCCTCATGTTCCAATGTTTTTTTTTAAATTTGCTTTCAGATGCTGTAGTACTAAGCGAAGGTGAAATCGTTCACAACCTTAACTGTGCTTTCATGCGGTTTGTGGTCAATGGGCTATATTCACTCCAAGTTTACACTAGCTTCTGACGAACTAGATCATGGTGCAGGGTCCCCCTCAGAGGAAATCTGCAAGGAAGGATTTGCAGTGCCACCCCCTCTTCTTCACTGGGAGGTGTAAAAACAGAGTGCTGCCCCAAAATGGGGGGTGCTGGTAGTGAAGGAGGAATGACTTGGACTCCCTGAGGATGTGTCCATTCAACACATCTGCATTTCAGCCTCCAACTGCAGGATTCTTTAGGTGTTTCTGATGAAAACTAAAGCTACCTGCCCCTGGCAGAACTCGAGAGAGGACAAAAGTAGAACTCCCTGCCATTCCCCTGTGGAGAATCATCCAGAGCATAACAGGCTTCATTGGCCCCTGAAGTAGTGTTTTACACACAGCAGTGTATGTGTGAGGGTAGGGGGGAGGGAAGACCCTGGCCCTGTATATACAGTGTGATCAAATTCTTATTTAACTGCTCTGCTCTCTTTACTCCTGACCTTTTCAGTTTTACAAGGCCACCATCCAGGCTATTCATCCCTGTGTATCTTCCACAAACAATGAAAACTAAGAATAGCTCTGGTGCTGAGTCAGAATCCATGCTTTAGCTGGTAGCCTTTACTGGTGGGTCTCAATGGGATGCTCTCTCAGCTTCTGGGAGTGTTTCCTCACAACTAGCAGGGGAAGGCCAGTGTGGGAATAAACACTGGAAATGAATGAGCAAATAAGAATGACCCATTTGAAGGGACACCAATGGGTCAAATTTCCCCTAACAGAGCCAGCAATGAATTTGGCCCAGCATATTTAAGAACAGAAACCTCTCTTTGCCACATTGAAGTGTAAGTGGCATCTCAAAGTGAAAGACATTTAAAAAAAATACTTTTCACCATATATGTTGCTTGCTACCTTTTGTCTTTCATTCAGTTTTGAGAGTGACATTCTGTTTATACTGAATTTCAATTTATTTCTGGTTCTGATCTGCCAGTGCAGTGTTATTTAGCTTCCAATCCAACAGAGAAATGAATAATACACTCCCACTGCAATCCCGAAAACTTAAAACTAAAACCTTCCCGACTGTCATTGGAAAAAAAAAGGGATGAAAATATTTCTATATGTATTAAGACTGACTTAAATAAAAGCAAAATCTTTAAACAAAACAGACCTTAAATTTCAGAACAAATGGATAGTGTCCCTTTAATGTGTGTACAGGAAGTGGGCAGAAGAGTGGGCATGTAGAAAGAGGCAGAGGCTGTTATGCAGAGACCAAAAATGAAGTTTAAAATCTCAAAAGAAAAAAACTCTAGTTTTGTAAAGAAACAGTAGATAGAGAATCAATCTAACTAAGCCCTCATCAGACCCCAATCACTGTAGTGTCTGAGCACTTCACAAATATTAACGCATATCTCCAAACCACACCTTTGTGAGGTAGGGAATTTTGATTATCGGATTAGGAACAGAGGCACAGAGAGAGATTACAACCAAGATTCTTCAGTGTCCTGTACCTTGTGTAGTCATTTACACCTGTGCAAAGTGGATCGGATTGGATAACGTTTGATTGGTGACCATTCTGATTGGATAGTATTTTACAGCCATTTTCCAAAGGTGTAAGTTATTACACAAGGTGCAAGACAGTAGGAAATCAGGACCCAAGGCCCAGATCGTTAAAGGTGTTTAGGTGCCTCTCATTGATTTCAATTGAAGATGAGGGCCTAAATGATTTGCACAAGGTCATAGAGGAATTCTGTGACAAAGGATGGACTTGAACTCTGATCTCGCAGTCCCAGGACAATTTCTTAACCACAAGACACAAACAGGAGGCTTGATCCTCCACTCTGTTACACAGATTTTATACCAAAATAATTCCACTGAAGTCACTATACTACCATAAAACCAGCATGACAGTGGAAAATCAGGCCCAGAGTGTTTTCAAGTAGAACATAAGAATGTCCATACTGGGTCAGACCAAAGGTCCATCTAGCCCAGTATCCTGTCTTCCAACAGTGGTCAATACCTGATGCCCCACAAGAAGAGGATGTTGTGAAGGCCAACACTATAACAGGGTTCTAAAAAGAACTAGATAAATTCATGGAGGATAGGTCCATCAATGGCTATTAGCCAAAATGGGCAGGGATGGTCTCCCTAGAGTCTGTTTGCCAGAAGTTAGGAATGAGCGACAGGGTATGGATCACTTTGATGATTACCTGTTCATTCCTTCTGGGGCACCTGGCATTGGCCACTGTCAGAAGACAGGATACTGGGATAGATGGACCTTTGGTCTGACCCGGTATGGCTGTTCTTGTGTTAGGTTCACAACATCCTCTGGCAAGAAGTTCCACAGGTTGACTGTGCATTGTGTGAAAAAATACTTCCTTTTGTTTAAAACCTGTTGCCTATTAATTTCATTTGGTGACCCATAGTTCTTGTGTTATGAGAAG